TTTATATATATATATATACCTCGCCGGGTGTTGCGTTAGCTGGCTGAGTGCCGCTATGGCCGTGGGCGAAGGAGTCGTCCCCAGTCAGTGATGTATTTAACCAAGTAAGGTTATATCTAAATCTAATATACTTCTGGAAGCGAAGACTAGCTCGAGGGTCTGGGTAGCGTAACTGGTAAGCGCGCCGCACGGCAAGCGGAGGCTGCGGGTTCGAGTCCCGCCCCGGGCCAGTTCTTTTATTCCAGAAGATTCTAAATTTATTTATTGATTTATTTATTTAATTTTAATTATTAATTTAATTAAGAGATGGCGCCTAACGTCTACCTCTAGTGTCAAATTACTTTATTCCAATCATTTAATTAGCCATATTATAGCCCGATATTTAGGCGATCGTTTGGTGATGTATTTACTACTCGGGCTATGAGTTGTTGATATTTATAGATACAATAGTCTTTGTTAGGCTTAACATCGACGAAAATTCAACGCGAAGCGACACGCAACGGAGAAAAATTTCAACATCGGATACGTTAAACTATTTTTTCAAACATAAATCGGTTATCCGAAAAATCACTTATACAAACAACCCCAGTCCCCAATTGATTCGGAAAATCGACGCTCTACTGTATATACAATCGAAGATTTACAAGAAAAATTTAGTTAGATGATATCGACTTTCTAGATTTATTTTTCAATTTTAATAAATCTAATAAATATTAAAGTAATAATTAAAATAAACACGAATTAAATTCTATTAACTAAGATAATATGTTTACTTATCTTAAAATATTCAAGGCATTTTGTATTTTCTTAAAAGAAAGTAGCAATCTCGAGAATTATCTACGTTGTGAGTGATAAGAAAAGCTATCTTATCGAGGTCTTTTAGGTCAGTGTTTCTTAACAGGGGGGCCGCGGCCTCCTGGGGTCCATAAGAAGTTTGCCGGGGGCCGCCAAATTATGCAAAATTTCCTTTAGAATATAATAAAAAGACAAGTGAAACGGCAAAACCGTATTTGGGACAAGACTATGTCTCGGAGACTCATTACTAAGCGGAATCACTTTGACGCTCAAGGCGAGTCTCGTTCTCATTCTCCAATCTTCTTTGGTATCGCTGCTTTTGGGCGCAATCGTTCAAACTTCGCCGACCACATGCATTTTCGATGAAATTAACCTATCCAATTTCGAAATTTCTATCTGTTGCGTGTCGGCCCGGGTTGAATTTTTGTCGATGCGTAACGAAAATTTCCCGTTTTTGAAAAAATAATCGTGGCTATTTTATCGTCTGAAATTATTTTTTATTTTGCATAAACAATATACTGTTTAACCTGATTATAACGTCGTCGGATCTAACGACAACCCTAATATAACGTCAAATTTTTATCGGTTCCACGATTTTACTATACTAGATAATGTTAAAAACCCACTTGTAACGACCCCCCTGTTAATTACGAATTAATGTCATATTTGAAGCACTCCCAAATTTACAAAATTAGATTAGAAATTTTATTTAACATAGAAGAAACTACGTATTCGGGCCTAAGATCAGAGTTCACTTCTTAGAATGACTGTGGGTGGTACTCTCCCACACCCGACTTCGGTGGGATGAGGTGGCTGTTTTGCCTGAATTTGTAGAAGAGGGTCGCCATTTTGTATTTTATTTTGCCATAATCTATAAGCATCCAAAACGAAGATACTCGAATTTATTTCAGAGAAATTAAATTAATCCATTCTTAAAATTCAAAATAATGTTTTTAGAAAGAGAAGGTAAAATTTATTTATTTATTTTATTATAAACGTTAAGTTTACGGTCGAAATGTTTAGAATTTTTGCCAGTTATTACAAGATTGATACATTTCGGAAATTAAGATCATAAAGTAAGTAGTTAATTTTATTTAAAAAATGAAATTTAATAGATTATTCTACGTTAAAAAAATTAATAAATGGATCTTTGTCGGTCCCCCGACTACCTACGAGTCTGGATATTTTTATGCGCAAATAATTTGGGCACCTAATACTCTGTACCAAATATCAACTCTCGACATGTACTCTCCTTCATACCTCTAAGTTGGTAACATAAAACGGCAGTATGATTTTATAAACAAGACATAGTCTTGTCAAAAATTGATGTATAACCGAATATCGTATTGAAAAGTGAAATAAGAAATACAGTAGAGCGTCGATTATCCGAATCAATTGGGGACTGGTGTTGTTCGGAAGATCGATGTTTTGGATAACCGATTATGTACGAAAAAATATATTAATTTATTCCATCTTGACATTTTTCTCCGTTGCATGTCGCTTCGCGTTGAATTTTCGTCGATGTTAAGCCTAACGAAGACTATTGTATCGTTAAAAATTATTTTTTTATTTTGTACAAACAAAATAAATATATTGAAAAATATAAAAACAATAAAAAATTAAAATTCAGAAGTTAATTTAGTATCAAAAACGTAAAATATTTGAGTAGCCCAAGATATAGCCAAAGATTGCAGCGCCACATCACTGGCGAAAATTTAAATTTGCCGACTGGAATTCTTTCAGATAATTGACGTTTCGGATAATCGACGCTCTATTGTAAATAAAAAACACTAAATACGAAAACTTTATTTCTTATTTCTTCCTACATACAACTTTCTTAGTACAGAAGAAATAAATGCAAATATGCTACTTACACCGCAATATTTACTTATTTTATTCCAAACTAATTCTAAGAAATATTAATGCTTGGAATTTTAAAAATAAAACAATAATAAAAAAATCAATTTATTATAGATAATTTGACAGATATTTTTAAATTATTATTTAAAAAAATGGGGGTCACAAAAAAATTATGAAATATTTGTGGGCCGCGAGTATAAAAAGGTTAAGAACCACTGCTTTAGGTGACCAAAATTTTCAAAAACACTTTTCTTGGTATTTGAAATGGATCTAATGTTATAATTGCAGGTTGTCTTAAGTTATTTAAGATTAAAATGTATTTTAGGATAAGGTTAAAAGACACTAGAATCACTAAAAAATGTTCATTATTTTTGAAATTTGTACGTTAATTTAGAACAAAATATATTATTTATATCTCTTTATTGACAATTGAAATAATTTTTTGAACGGGTTTTTCAAAGATTAGTGTAAATATTGTGTTTGCAATGTTGGGCCATAAAAAAATTATGAGAGAGGGAAAAAACATTAGTAAGAAAAACCTTTAATGTTTCCAATTTCGGGAATTAAATTAAATTTTTTGCTGTTATGTTTTCATTTCGTGAATTGTTTCATTACAGTAACAATTTCATATTCTCGTCAAAGAAGTTTTTACAATTTCTTTCCCGTTTTTTTTTATTTTGCCTTATTGTTTAAAAAAATGCCATAATAATTACTTTAGAAATTTCTATTACTTATCCAGAATGTATTTGCATGATTGATATCGTTAGGTAATTGTAATTAAATTAGTTTTTTCTGCTTATTTAACATGAAAAAGTATAAATTTATATATATAATTTATTCAAATTCTAAAATAGTGAAGTGGAAACAGTTAAGTGAATGAATTCTACAAATTCTATGAAAATCGGTTCGTATTTTAATGATGTACCGAATGAACAAATTGATTTATGAAATTTATAGTTAAACGAAATAAATTATTGAATTTAATAATGATAATTAGATTGATTAATTAATTAATTAGAAAATACAGAAATCATCGTTTTGTGTCCTTAAAAAATGAGAATATGTATAATTATTCAAATTTAAATTTCAAATTTTTTAAGTCTCTCATTTGTAAATTTGTATCCTACTGAGACTGTTTCTCCTCTTATCCTCTTTCTCATCCCCTCAATCTCTTCCTTTCTTCAGCCTAGACCCTTGAGTACACTCTACTCCCTAATAATAATAGTAAGCAACTGTTTAACACCATCATTTTTCATTGGCGCTATTTGGAAGGATACTATATCGAGGTTTGACTGTAGATATTTATATCTTCCCCCGATAACATTATTATGCATTTGAAAAGCTTCTAATAATTAATCTGTATATGAAAATAAAACAGGACTACTTTAATTCAAATTATAAATAATAGAAAATACTAAAATCTGTTAATCATTATTAACATACTTGCCTCAGGTCTTTTTTAAATTTTATTAATCAGTCCATTCTCTTTGTAGTTTCAAAAATGAAAGAAAAATTTAACTAAAGATAATTGATGTAGCTTATTGTTCGAAAGTATTTAATTTTTATATTTAAAAGATTGTTACGAACTTTTAAATTGTAAATACAATTTGGTACAGATGTATATAGTCTTTCAGCATTATTTGTGTTTTATAAATTTATCTTTCACTTTCGACCAAATCAAATAATCTGGAAAAGAATTTTTATTGTGTAATTTCTTTCCCACAGTTAAAATGGAATGTCTTTTACAGGCTGGATAACGTTAGAGTATTGTATTATTTCTTTATCTTGTCTGCTGCATAACTTCCCTGTTCTTTGTAGATCTGTTCTAGATTTCTATAAACAAAACTTATCTCGTTTTCTTAACGAATACAATATATTTTTATCGGATATTAATAACTATATTACAATATTCTATTGTTTCGTTAAATGTGAACCTATAATTAATTTGTTTTTTGTAAATCTTAATTAAATACTCCTTGAATCTGAACAGTGTTTTAATGTTTAAAAACGTAAACTGTTCTTGAAAAACTGTTATTTTTATTTATTCTAAATGTAATCTTTTTTGTACATTCTAACTTAAACTTAGTAAATTAGGTAATTTAGATTTTTCTTTAATAAAATGGAATACATTTCCCATAAAAAGTTCTCAATATCTAATGTTATACAATATAACTTATATTTATTGTTTTTTTCTACAATATTGAATACAAACAGTCGTTTAGATTACATATACTGAGGTTAAGTAGAATTACCTTAATTGTTTTACGTATGAATAAATAAAAACTTTCATCGTGAGAAGCATCAGGTAATAAAAACAGTGACGTCGCCAGTGACGTGTCTTTCAAACTTATTAACAAATATAAAATGATATTAATTTATATAATTGGAATTCTTTATTAAAATATAATAGAATATTTAATAGAGGCAATTTCTGTTAAGAAAATTGTTTTAAAAGCACGTAAAAAGAATAGCACAACAATGTAGGACGGGATGGTTTATTGATTAGTCTGGCCGTGTGGATGGAAACAAATCGATTATTTGGACTAGTGCCAAATCCTTGCATCTTTCTCCTCTGTAGACATGGGAAAGTTACCTCACTTTAAACATCTTTTTGCTACCAAATGTAAAAGTAAGTACTATAAAGCTGTTTATAGTTAAGCATTTAATAACTCGAATCCTTTCTCTTTATATATATATCTATATTTGTTTACTCCATAATCGGGTTTACAACACATTTCTAGCATCCGTAAAGATTTTCATTATAAACATTATTCTATCTGTACTGAATTTACTAATATGAATATTGATGTAAATAATAAACGTATAGTTGATTATATACAGTATATTGATGTAAATTAGCTTTATTTATTAACTGATATTAACATTAATTTAACGTTTAACATAAACATTAAGTTTTAAGGTATTTCAGTTAAAATATAACCTATAATATTTAATATATTTTTTTTAAATGTTTATTTTGTCTTAGATTTATACGTTTGTAAATATTTATCGTTTTGTAACCATTATATATTTATTTATTTATTTAAAATTCTGTCATAAAAATGTGTTAAGGATTTAATTTTATTTTAAAAGCTTCTTCATTTTTTTATTTAACTGCTTCATTATTTCACTTAAATAATTAACTCGTTAAGTTGATTCTTGTTCAAATTAAATAACATTTATTCAATTAATTTTATAACAGTGTATAAGATAATAATAGCATAAAATTAAATGTTAATAACTTTAAAAATTTATGTTGGAAACAAATAAGTTACTAGGCGTAACAGACCTGTACGAGATGTGTAAATACATTAGTTTACATTACATGCTAATAATAATTCATGTAATTGTTAATGTTATTTGAGAAATTCAGTATAAGTGACGTGATTAAGCTACAAAAATAATGACAATGTTAATTATTTTTAAATTTTTTTTCAAATAAATTCTAATCTTGAATTAATTTGTTGATATTTTTTTAAAAATTTNTAATTTTTTTTCTACTATATTCTTTTCTAATTTCATCTTCAGGTGCTCTTTGCTATGGTGAATTAGGTACTATGATAACAAAATCAGGTGCTGAATATTCTTACCTTCTGGATGCTTTTGGACCTTTCTCTGCTTTTCTTTTCTCTTGGGTATCGGTCTTTGTTCTAAAGCCTTCTATGCTCGCTATCATCTGTCTTAGTTTGGGAGAATATATAGTTGAACCTCTTTCAACCGGTTGTGATCCAAACCCTTTATTGGTTAAATTGGTGACCACAATTGCAATAGGTAAGTTAAAAAAAAAACCTTGAAAAATGTATAAAATTACCATTAAAATCTCCATCTTAATTATGATATACTATTAACGATAAACTATTCTAAATTTTTTAGGTTTAAAAAAATTTCTTGTCAGATTTATTACATAATTCTGTGAGATTTTTCATTTTAATTTTTGGTGTTATTAAATGGAAAGATTGAAGAAAATGATTTAGGTCAGGTTAACAAGTCTTCTCACTCGTAGGTGCTTTGGTTAATGATTTATATCGATCAGGTTTAATTTCTGATCAGATATCGATCATGTTTGATCTTTGATCAGCTATTTATCATCTTTGTTTTATTGCAGTGGCTCACATAGAGAACAATCACATCGTACCACGATTTCCGACCTCGCAATCTGCTTCAAGTGGTTTGTCTGAATTACCTTTAAAAGTTGCTGCCAGTACGAACGAACAAGATGAACCTATATCTGGTGAAGGTATACATTTGAAACGAAGAGTGGGATTAGTTAGTGGAGTTGCCCTTATTGTTGGAACTATGATTGGTACTTATTAACGAAATTTAACGTTTTTTTTAAAATAAAAAGCAGCTTTTAAATAATAATTTTATATTACAGGATCCGGAATCTTTGTCTCTCCTAAAGGAGTTTTATTGAGGTCAGGTTCCGTAGGATTGAGTCTTGTGATATGGGGCGCTTGCGGTTTGCTTTCACTTTTAGGTAATAGAATAAATGTTTTATTGTTTAATAAAAATTGTTTTTTAAATAAATTTTTATAACTACTTTCCATTAGCATAACGGCTAATTTACTAATAATAACTTTATATATTTATTATAAAGCATAAAACACTAACTTCGTTCTCTATAATACATTGCATATTTGAATTTGTCTAGCAAAAATTCAAATATGAAGAGTTCAAGACAAGTTGACCATTTGTAAATTTATAATTATAAATATTCACAAAGTTTGATAGCTTATTCTTAATAATTTTCACTTTAAATTTAATTTTAAAAAAGTCTTATCTTTTTTATTGAGAACATATTTCTCAATCTGAAAATTAGACAGACTCTTTAGCCTATTAAAATTTGCAATATAAAATTCTCTAGTTTCTTTAAACTTGCTGACCAGAGACTTTTGATCGGCTACAATGATGTGATTTGACATTCTCTACAGTCAGCAATTCCAGTTTAGAATGTTCAACTATTCTATAACAGTGAAAATGGTAGAATTTTCTTCTTGAGTTGATGTAAGATATAATAAATAAGAACGTGGTGAGAGATACGTCACGAACTATGAATGACGGGATGCACACTCCACAACACGTGTTAGTGAGAAAGGAAATTGCAGCTGGGGATTCGACACGGAATTTAACAGAGGCTGTTCATTTTAATTTTAAAAATAGTTAAATTTTTAAGGATGCCTTTAGAAAATAAATCCTATTCGTCTTGTAAGTATTTACCATTATTTTTTATAGTTTTTTTTTAATTTTTTAAACTGTCCTTACCGTCTTCATTCATCATTTTATAAATACGTTTTCTGTTGCGTATAAACAGGAGAATTATTTTAAGGGCTTTTTATCTGTAATTAAAATTATTTTATTCGTTCCATAAGATATTTATATGCAAACAGAAAAACATTAATTTAATCTGATGAATTTGTTAGGTTTTTTTTATTATTATTATTTATTCTCATAGCAAAACAAAAAGGATTTTAGATCTGAGGACGTGTTTAAATATTTACGACGTTCTTAAAACATATTTATTAAAATTTTATAATATATAGATGTATATTTTTAAATATATTTGATTTAAAATCACCAAACATATTTTAATCTTAAAGATAATTGTCCGATGGGAAATTGGTATTTTGCTTATTGTAACAAATGGCTGATGCAATAGAAAGGTCGTAGCTTTAATATCCTCTTTTATAAATGATGGATATAAATTCATGCAAGGACTAAATTTTAAATCGATTTCTTATATCTTACTTTTCATATTACTTCCTGATTAAATTAATTACATTTATTTTTTTTAAATAAAAAAAAAACTTTATTTATGTAGGCGAATTAAATAAATGAGAGAGTTTTTACGTTGCTCCTTTCGCATTTTCTTGAGAAAAATTTAAAAATAGAATTAATTTTAATATATGATGGTAATTTAAGAGTGAAAATCGAATATTATTTTTATATATTAAAAATTATACCTTTTTTTATAATTTAATTTTGTAAGAAATTAATTTTAATAGAAAATATATCTAATGCAACAGTTGGAAATGAAATTACTTCATAAAACCTTTATATTTGTATTAAGTTCATATTCTAATATCGTATTCTCCTACTTATTTATAGCTCCATATTGGTTTTAATTACTTTAATATTAATTTAAGATCATAAATTAAAAAGCAACTTTAAAAATAACTTTACAGAAATATTTTCTATTTAATTATTTCTTTGTATACTATTTCAATTTAATTTTTAAACCGATTTTTGACGTTTTAAAAAATATAATCAAACGATTTTTAATATTTATAAATAGTATAAAGATGTTATAAAATTTTTTATAAAGCAAAAAAATTCTTAATTATTAAAATATTGAAGATTTAAAAAGTAAAAGAGAGTGAGGATATTATAAGAGTCGAAAAGTTTTATAAAGGGAAGAGATTAATTGTTGTTAACAGGATATTGATTTAGGTCAGGTTAACAAGTCTTNAATACTGTATTTTATATTCTTAAAACTCGTATAATAATTGTGAGTTAGCAGGGGGTCACTGGGATGATCTATAAATCTACAACCACGAAATAGAAAAAATAAATTGGTAACGAGCAAAATGCAATGTCCAAATGCTTTATTTTTGTATATTCGATCTAAATTGGAATGTAAAAAAATAAAATATTTATACATACATTATTATTTCATTTAATAAATTTGATTAGGAATACATATAGAAAAACTGTAACTACATTACGTTTATCACAGATACTAAATACATATGATTTACCTTCTTACAGTTTACAATACCTTGATTACATTTTTATAGTTTCCTCTTTGATATCCTCAATATACCATAATAATTTATTTATTGTGATTCTATACACGAAATTTTCGTAATTCTTGCAATCTTGTTTTCCTTTTCTATTTACAATCCTTATTCAATTTCTCGAAATTCTTCCGATTTTGCAATTTGTGCATCGTTTAAATAAATTCGTGTTCTAAATTTAGAAAGCTTTGCAATACAAGGTATTGTATAAAATATTGTTTTCGTTATTTTCCTCAATACTTCTGTTAACTAGTGTCAACGACCGTAACAACAGACGTACATTTAAATATTATACATGATAATTATAAACTTCAGTAATATAATAAGCGAATATAAATGAATATTTCATATTTACCATGCTAGATAAAAAGTATTTACAAGATAATTTTAATCATGATTACGGTGCAAACTAACAATCACATTAAAAATGATCTTTTAATTGAGTATAAAGTAGCTTGGATTACTTTAATTTATCTCAAAAACAGAAATTATTTAATTTAACTAGATTTTATCAGTTCAAGCAAAAGTGGTCATCAAGGGAGATCACATCGGCTAAAACGTAAAAAATATGTAAAGAAAATTTAAAGTTATTAAAAATTCTAGGTGCATTATGTTATGCAGAACTGGGAACATTCGTTCCAATGTCAGGAGGTGAGTACGCTTATCTGCTAACTGGCTTCAAAGATATAAAACCATTACCTGGTCCTCTACCTGCATTCCTGTACAGTTGGATGTGTGTACTACTATTGAAGCCGTCTTCTCTAGCTGTTTTATCATTGAGTTTTGCTGAATATTCAGTTCAAGCATTATATTCACCTGGTTGTTTTGGTTCTGTTATTAGCAAGAAATTAATAGGCATCATTTGTGTATGTGAGTTATTAAATATTTTAATTTTTCTTTTATTTTAAGTTTACGTTAATAAAATTAACTTTATCATAAAATGAATGACAGATATTATACTTGTATTAATGAAACAACATTTAATTGCGAAATAAAAATAATTCCATTAAAACTTTATTGATATCAAATGACTTATTAAGAAATGTTTCGTTTTGTATACTGGCACAATGAAGTGACTTTTCTTCAACACTAGGCAAGTTTCAATCTTTATTCAGTTAGATAACTAAATAACTGAATAAAGATAACTACTAACTGAATAAAGATTGAAACTTGCCTAGTGTTGAAGAAAAGTCACTTCATTGTGCCAGTATACAATACGTNTCGGTCTTTGTTCTAAAGCCTTCTATGCTCGCTATCATCTGTCTTAGTTTGGGAGAATATATAGTTGAACCTCTTTCAACCGGTTGTGATCCAAACCCTTTATTGGTTAAATTGGTGACCACAATTGCAATAGGTAAGTTAAAAAAAAAACCTTGAAAAATGTATAAAATTACCATTAAAATCTCCATCTTGATTATGATATACTATTAACGATAAACTATTCTAAATTTTTTAGGTTTAAAAAAATTTCTTGTCAGATTTATTACATAATTCTGTGAGATTTTTCATTTTAATTTTTGGTGTTATTAAATGGAAAGATTGAAGAAAATGATTCAAACATCTCGTGCAATACTTCAAAACTGAAATTTAATATCTAAGTTTAAAATTTTAAAGAAAACATATATTAAATAATACAAGAATTGCAAAATTAGAAAACAGATATAAAAAAAATATCCAGCAATGAGTCGCTTAACTTTCCCGGCAAAATTTAACACTGCGTGTGCCGCCATCTGTTATGATATTTTGTTTAAAAACCTTTTTATATTTTTAATTATTTTAATGTAGCAAAAAGCTTAATTTTGAAAGTAGGGATAGGTTTTATAAAAAGATTGTAAATGCTAATAATGAGTAAAATCGTCATTAAGTCCGACCCTACTCGAGATATGTCATGAGCCCCTTTATCTTCTTACCTCTTGACCTTTAATCAACAAAATTTAATAGCATCAACCCCCATAATAAACAAACGTCCCTGCAAAATTTCAGAAATTTTTTACAAAAAACACAGGAGTTATTAACATTCAAAATGGGTGAACGAAATCGTGCCTCTTACACATACACTAACATCCATATATATAGGGAAAAATCCTTTTTTTTGCAAAGTAAAAATTTAAAAAAATGGTAGATATTATCTGAAAGTATTTCACATTAATTGTAAAATATAACACGTGTTTATTAATAGCGAAAACATTTCATAAAAAAGGTACTGGTTTAAAGTTGCATTGTTTATTGTTGAAATATTAGCAGAAAATTTTCAGAAATAAATTAACTTATTACACGAATTGTATAATATATTACGAAATTTAAAGAAAAAGATTTTACCAAACTGTAAAATAGAAAATAGAGGATGATTCATTAAAATATTCAATGCTAACACGACATTAAACTTTAATATAACGAAATTGATTCGTGTTTTACAATAATTTAAGCGCTTTAAAAATGTATTTAAAGTTTTATTATATTAAAGATATATATTATAACTTAAATATAATAAAATTAATCTTTTACATTATATAAATATTTATACACCGTAATTTAGATGAATGGTTGTTTTTGTTTGCATAATCTATTATAAATGCCAAATTTTACATCAAATAAATAAACTAAATCAAATATTTTTATTCTGTAAACATTTCTGTTTATATCAGATATTTTCGGAATTAAATTATGAATACTGTATTTTATATTCTTAAAACTCGTATAATAATTGTGAGTTAGCAGGGGGTCACTGGGATGATCTATAAATCTACAACCACGAAATAGAAAAAATAAATTGGTAATGAGCAAAATGCAATGTCCAAATGCTTTATTTTTGTATATTCGATCTAAATTGGAATGTAAAAAAATAAAATATTTATACATACATTACTCCAAGAAAACAGTAATTTCTATGTATCTTTAATTGTTTCTCTTATTTCACTAGATCTGTCAAAAATTGGGTTTGAAAGTTCATAATTAAATAATTTTTGTCTGATTCCATTTAACATCTGTTCATTAGAATTAATATTGTTTTATTGCATCTTTTAGATAATTTCATGAAAAAAGTAATAAAAAATTTCAAAATTATTGAGAATAAATTTATTATTTTTTTAATTTTATTTTATTTACAATAGGACAACAGATTTCCTTTCCGTCGTATCAACGTTAAATCCCAAACCAACAATATACAAAATAAAAGAAAAACACTAAAAACAACAAAGAAACATGCAATTATAAAAAATTTAAGAATATAAAACATATATTTACAAGGTTTTTTTATATTGCAAATAATCAAACTGAAGCATATGTTCAATATTAATCATGCTGTTAACTATGTAATAAAAGAAACAATAATATAAATAAAATATATGGTAAATATATGAAGTTAAGAATACTTATTATACATTGAAATGTGTAATTTATTCATAAAAAAAAACCAAAATGTAATGTAAAATAGTATGAATATAAATATTTTGAAGTATAACATTATTTTATTTTGCAGTAATTACAATATGAAATGTAAAAGACTTGTGTTTTACATTTCATATTGTGAAAAGACTTGTGAAAGAATTTCTATGTACAGTACAGTGGTACTTCAAATGTTCCAGAGTTTTAATGTTAAAATTAAAAGAACTCTATGTGTTACATAAACACCATCTGTTATGTACCAAAGTTGTGTCTTACTCTCACCCTCACCTGTGAAAGCATTTCTTGTATTATGCTTGTGTGTTTTCAGTGCTTTTATTGCTTTATATTTGTGTATTTGGTTATATACAGTGCTTTTTTTTTGGGGGGGGAAAAGTGGTGGAATGCTGAACTCATTACTAAAAATATATTACATGCATTGTACACAAGATTTGGCACACAAGCAGGACCAGGACCAGGACCATCTTAATAATTTTGTTGCCTATCTTCTATGCTCAACAGAGTGATTCAATGCGGACCAAACATCAAATTTTCAAAAATTTTCGTAAAACTTTTAAAATATATCGAAAAAAAGGTGGTGGAACATCGTTCCATTGCATTCTATGACAAAAAAGCGCTGGTTATATATATAACCAAATATTATTATATATGTATATATATAACCCTTACCTATTAATCATGGCATCCAAGAAGTGTGTGGAAGCAATGAAGCCTAAGAAGAAGGTGGTTGTATCAATTATTGAGGTGTGAAAGGAACTTGCTGTGAAACATTAAAGTGGTAAATGTGTGCTTTCATTCTTTGCAATAAATTGAGCCGTGTATAAGATGCCAAATTCAATGTGTGTGCTATTCTTAAGAACAAGGAAGCAATAAAAGAAGCAATTGTGGCTAAAAGTGTTCTAACTAGAGAGAGGATTTTAAGGTACAGCACTTTTCCAAAAAAAATAGCTATTTTTATATGGATAGTTGAAGATATATATTTTGGGGCATAAAATGAAGCAAAATGAACACACTATGTTGCACCTTTTCATAAGATTAGCATATTTCTCCTCTTTTTCCTTCTCTTTGATACTCAGCACTTTTATCTGTGTTTTTAAAGATTGGACAGAAAAATAAATAAATAAAATGAATTATTTTCACTCTTCATGAGCAGCTACATAAAAATCCTATTCTTTAATTTATAGTACAGATTGAGAGCTATAAAATGGCATACTTGCAATTGTTGTAGTCCCAATAATTCCTAAGATAATATAACAAAACCCTCCAAGAGAAAACAAACTTTGACANATTATAAGAAAAAATTAATGTATAAATGAATACAAAGTGTTTTTATAGCTGATTAAAATGTTTTATTTTCATTTAGGTATCATCACTTTTGTCAACTGTTACAGTGTTAATTTAGCAACTAGAGTGCAAAATTTATTCACTGCAGCAAAACTATTAGCGATTGCCATTATCATCGGAGGTGGTTTAGTTAAAATTGCTCAAGGTATAAGATTCGTTTTACATTATATAAATATTTATACACCGTAATTTAGATGAATGGTTGTTTTTGTTTGCATAATCTATTATAAATACCAAATTTTACATCAAATAAATAAACTAAATCAAATATTTATATTCTGTAAACATTTCTGTTTATATCAGATATTTTCGGAATTAAATTATAAATACTGTATTTTATATTCTTAAAACTCGTATAATAATTGTGAGTTAGCAGTGGGCCACTGGGATGATCCCTAATGACCACTTACTCTGTACGGGTTGGAAAGACCCGCTCTCGGTTGTCGGATGGCTTAGGAGGGCAAAAATGAGTGGGGAGGGGTCGTGAGGTCGTGACGAGGTGTCCAAATAACTACACGAGTTAAACAATACTAACACATTTAATAACTAATAAGAGATTACACATATCAAAAAACTAAAATAACACACGCGTAAATAAAAAGGAATCTATTCTATATCTATGTCCTAACCTAAACTAAAGATCGAGAGAGACCTCTCTAAGAGAGACGTGCTGGGGAGAGAGAGACAAAATTCGGGCAAGGGTTTACCTCGTAGGAAGCGATCTCGTCGTATAGGGCGTTGGTAGGACGCACTGGGATCGGCAGTTTCCAATCGAAGTTCCCTTGGATGGCGCGATATGGAGCGATGGACGGTTTTGCAGTATGGAACTGATGTCCCTTGATGTCCGCTTGGCTATGTCCGTAGAGGGTGTTCGCTCCGTTGCTCTCCGACTGTAGAGTTCTGCATGGAGATGTTCGCTCGGAGGGGTTCTTCGGCGGGATCCTCTTCGGCTGTCCGCCCGGAGGAGCAAATTCGACCTCTTTTTATACCTAACCCGTAGGGGATTCGTGGGGAAGAAAATCTGATGCTATCGCCAGCTGGACTTGCGTACAGCTGTGTTTACTTGAATTTGACAGTTCTCCAGATTTATCACCGTCTTAGAAAAATTCATTACCTTATTTGGTCATTTAGATCGACTTCCCATCGGGTCGCTCGGACTTATGGGGTATCACGGGATTTCGTTTTACCCTCGTTGATGACCTTTTGAATTATCCTCTATACAGCATCACACGTTTGTTGCTGCCAATTGGATATTTACTTAAACGTCGTAGTTACCTTGCAATCGAGTAATACCCTGGGAAGAGGGGAGTCCTTCTTCGGACGATGAAAGTCACCTTCGATGTGACGCAGTATAGTGTGAAAATTTACACTTGCGTCCGAATTCTCACATAATAATAATTCTTGTTTGTTTATACTGTACTGTACATACATTACGTATATGAAAAGGTTGTCAACGTTGTTGCTGGACTTTCCAGGCTTTGTTTATTTGTTTTCACCCCTAATAATTGCTATCATTACCTTTTAATTCTTCAGTTTACTGTACGTACACTTATTAATACGAATGATCACTCGTAAGAAAAAGTGGTGATCATATTTTTAAAATGTTACTTCGCCCAACTGTTTAATAGGCCTATATAGTGATGTTTTGGTCTAATTTCGATGAAAATTATGATTAATAACACACAAAAAACTATTTATCTCAAAGAATTTTATTAAAAACTAGTTTTTAAAAAAATTTTACCCCGGACCTGGAGTTGGGGAAATATCAATTGCTTAAAACTATTTTATTAATATATACCGTACAAAACATATTGAAAAAGTTAGAACTCAATTGGTTTATCAAAATTATAAAAATATCAAAAAAACGTTAATTTTGGGAGTGAATATTTTTTTTAGAAACAGGTGCATTTATTTATTTATGTCTTGGGACCTTTTTGAGATATGGCTTTCACTCCCTTAATATCTCCCGAAAAAATTGTCCGATTTTCCTGAAATTTTCTATAAATATTTCCCCTAATACACAAATCCCACATTGAGAATTTNACCCTGAAACGTCGAGAAATGCATAAAATTGGTTTTTTTCCTATATATATAGAAATTTTCGACGGAAAGCACAGGAGTTATTAACCTCCAAAATGGTAAACAAATTCAAAAACATTTTGAATTTGTTTACCATTTTGGAGGTTAATAACTCCTGTGCTTTCCGTCGAAAATTTCTATATATATAGGAAAAAAACCAATTTTATGCATTTCTCGACGTTTCAGGGTCCCATGAGTCCAAAAATGTAAAAATATTGGGGGTCATTTTTGACCGAATGCTGTACTTTCCGGAACTCTGCACACAGCCTACAGTCTGTAACAGCCAGGAAAGTAAAGATACGATAAGGATGGGTTATTCCGTGAAAAAATATGGAATTTGTGTTTAACTTTCGTATTGAATGGATTTTACTATTAATTCTTTAAATTATCTTATAAATAATCGTTTCGATAAATGTCTATTCATGAACAAACAAATGTTACGTTACAAAATTTAAACACAGTATGTTGCATAATACAATAAAAATACGTTGTAAATATATTGCTGATGCAATTCTGTTGTCGGCATTTGAAATAAAATAATAAAATTCCAATTACTTATTGATAGTGTTTTTAAGCATTTTTAAATTTTTGTGTATTTTGATTTTAAAACTTAAATATATATAGGCCTATATTTCTATATTTTATTAGTTTAGGTCTTACTAATTACTACTGTATATTTTAAAATCAATTTTTAAATGCCTTTCTTACACATTATAAACGCATCATACAAAATAAACTTCATAAAAATACTTTTGTAAAATTAATATATTTTTTCTTTTTATTCTATTAAATTTCTTATAATAAATTAAAATGCGTTTGCCAGAAACTCTTGCCAATTAGTTTCATTTTATTCTAAAAGATTTCACTCTAGACACAGTCGTTATAGCTTCATAGAGCCCAGGTAAATTTGAATTAGGATGACCCATAGTGTTGACTTCAGACACCTTTCTTCGAGGGAATTTTTTTGGGGAAAATATTTTCTTGTAAAAGATTGGTTTGGTGTCCCCTGTTAGTGAGGTACCATAAGCAATTTCCTTTTTTTTCCCGCTGGATAACGCATCACTGATCAGAGCGACTTCATAAAGTATGTTCATGCATTGGTACGCCTGCACATGATCAATTCCTTTGTCATATAAGTATGATTTAATGCATATGTAAAAATATTTTGTCTTTATTCCTTTTTCTAACATTTTAAATAAATTAATTTACTCTTACAAATATAATAACTAAGATTAATGTCATTACAAACTCCATTAATTGTAAACAGTAAAAAGTATTTTTATTTTGTAACTGAGAAACAAATGGTGCTTATCTCTTGTTTTATAATCATATATTTTATTTAACTTAACAGCTAATTTATCATACTGCATGATTTTTATTAAAAATGTTAATTTATTGTCGTATTTTTAATGATTTTTAATGATTTAAAAAATAAAACGTGAAAACTTTTTACTTGAAGGTCATACTCAATATTTGGCTGCGGGATTTCAGGGATCTACAACTTCATTTTCTGATGTAGCTACTGCATTTTATAGCGGATTATGGGCTTACGATGGATGGTAAACATTTAAAAATAATTTCGTAATTTATTATAAAAATGAAATTCTAAATTGTATATTTTGTTCTCTCAGGAACAATTTAAATTACGTTACTGAAGAATTAATAAATCCTTACGTGTAAGTACGCATTATTAATCATTTTATTCGATTTTTGTTATACTGTTTATCCTATAAAGGTCGTGACGGGCTTGTATATCCGGTTCTAGTAGATATAAGATGTTGGAAACCTTGAGAGTATTAACAGATCAAATAAATCGAATTTTGCATGCTGTTTTGATAGTTTTCCTTGAGTGGAAATATGAAAATAGCATGCAAATTCACTAAGTTATATTTCCAAAGTTTTAAACTTCTGTTAACTTTCTCGGACATTATGTATAATAGCATGGGTATACACAGAAAATTTCCTTGAAAACAAATAATTACGTCAATAAATTGCTATTTAATTATATAATTTTGATGATTTTTATTTTGGGGATTCCAAGGGAGAGCAAGTGTCCCGTTTACTCCCTCAGCGGACATCCTTGTTGTGCCTATTTGTGAAAAAATCTCGACAGAAGCTATTTTATATTAATTTTTAAAATGTTAACTATTTTATTAATATATACCGTACAAAACATATTGAAAAAGTTAGAACTCAATTGGTTTATCAAAATTATAAAAATATCAAAAAACGTTAATTTTGGGAGTGAATATTTTTTTTAGAAACAGGTGCATTTATTTATTTATGTCTTGGAACCTTTTTGAGATATGGCTTTCACTCCCTTAATATCTCCCGAAAAAATTGTCCGATTTTCCTGAAATTTTCTATAAATATTTCCCCTAATACACAAATCCCCCCTGCAAAATTTCAGAAATTTTCGACGGAAAGCACAGGAGTTATTAACCTCCAAAATGGTAAACAAATTCAAAAACATTTTGAATTTGTTTACCATTTTGGAGGTTAATAACTCCTGTGCTTTCCGTCGAAAATTTCTATATATATAGGAAAAAAACCAATTTTATGCATTTCTCGACGTTTCAGGGTCCCATGAGTCCAAAAATGTAAAAATATTGGGGGTCATTTTTGACCGAATGCTGTACTTTCCGGAACTCTGCACACAGCCTACAGTCTGTAACAGCCAGGAAAGTAAAGATACGATAAGGATGGGTTATTCCGTGAAAAAATATGGAATTTGTGTTTAACTTTCGTATTGAATGGATTTTACTATTAATTCTTTAAATTATCTTATAAATAATCGTTTCGATAAATGTCTATTCATGAACAAACAAATGTTACGTTACAAAATTTAAACACAGTATGTTGCATAATACAATAAAAATACGTTGTAAATATATTGCTGATGCAATTCTGTTGTCGGCATTTGAAATAAAATAATAAAATTCCAATTACTTATTGATAGTGTTTTTAAGCATTTTTAAATTTTTGTGTATTTTGATTTTAAAACTTAAATATATATAGGCCTATATTTCTATATTTTATTAGTTTAGGTCTTACTAATTACTACTGTATATTTTAAAATCAATTTTTAAATGCCTTTCTTACACATTATAAACGCATCATACAAAATAAACTTCATAAAAATACTTTTGTAAAATTAATATATTTTTTCTTTTTATTCTATTAAATTTCTTATAATAAATTAAAATGCGTTTGCCAGAAACTCTTGCCAATTAGTTTCATTTTATTCTAAAAGATTTCACTCTAGACACAGTCGTTATAGCTTCATAGAGCCCAGGTAAATTTGAATTAGNAACAATATTTCCAAGACAAATATAAAATTTAGAAAATGTAAGTGCGATTGTTTAATTGTTTTCTTTCATAGAAAAATTGTTTCTTAATGTTTCGAGCAGTAATTTCTTTTAATTCGTAAATTAATTTTTAAAATGTTATTAAATGAAATTTGTTTGTGTTAATCGAACAAATATGTTACGTTTACATGTCCTGAAGCTGAAGATAATGAATATTAACCATTGAAAGTTTAATAAAAATAATAATAATAGGCCTATTTATATTAAATTCAAATGGAAAAATTTATTTTATTACTTACTTGTTTATTGATAAAACAACTGGAAAATTTCGATTATAAATAACAGCTATTTCTGCATTTTTAAAATGATTTTTAGATATTTTTAAGAATGAATATCTGTAATTATATCTGCTGAAAACAGTATTGATGACCTTAATAGAGTGAAGTTATTTTTGTCAGTGAAGCACTGACCAAACGGTCTCAGTGCTTCCAAGATAGATAGTTTTCATATCAAATACGACACTGGATGCTGGACTAATCAAGTAGTGTGTTACATTTGACATGAAAACTAAACGAGTTGAGATTCAGTTCGTCACAGATTCGTTAGTCCGACTGATTAACGAAGCTTTAAGTAGACTCTTCGCTGAATATTTTAATCTTAATTTTTTTAACATGTTCTATCTTTTTGTAATAAACAATATTGTTTGATTTTGTTCTGGTATTAATTATTTACCTAAAAAAATATCGATTGTAATGTAGTGTGTTAATAACATTTAATGTATTTTAAAGTCTAATGTAATATTGAATGCAAAATTTACATAAATTTTTTGCAAATTTTATTGATTTCAGCCTAATTTTTTTAATGGAAGTGTAAACTCTAAAGTGTATAGTCTTTGAGGGATCTGAAATTTCATCTCATGGTAACAGGCTGAATGTTCTGATCATTGAACTATTAATTATATTCAATTAAGTGCATAAATATACATATTTTATTGTAATATTTTCTGGAAAAAACAAAAGGGTTTCGTAAAAGGTTTATATGTAAAAATATTTTGTCTTTATTCCTTTTTCTAACATTTTAAATAAATTAATTTACTCTTACAAATATAATAACTAAGATTAATGTCATTACAAACTCCATTAATTGTAAACAGTAAAAAGTATTTTTATTTTGTAACTGAGAAACAAATGGTGCTTATCTCTTGTTTTATAATCATATATTTTATNAAAAGTCTAAATCTCATCTTCGAAAACTAATATAACGTTTATTAGTCTTATTAAATTTCTTGAGAGTAAACAAGTCTTGAGGGGAATTGATATTCATTCAGAAAAATGGAAAAACTTCTTTAAAAAATTTTCTTTACAACAGGATTATGTTTTCAGGCAATGCCAAATTTATTTTCAGATTCAGCAAGTTAAATTCTTTACTACGAAGTTAGAAATTACAAAATATATCAATAACCGTATTACTGTACTTCAATAATAAAATTCGAACTGGTTATAAGAAATTTTTATTGATTTTGTTTCAAGTTTAGCCTTCAGCTTTACAAGTATCTTAACGAAATTATGTCAATACAAGTTGACAGTTAACGATGAAATTAGACTAACCGAAAAATTTAATCTTTTGTTAAAATTAAAGATTTTACTTTAGAATTCTTTTAGTTTTGAAAAAAATTAAAGAAGGAAATGAAAATTTTATTCTGAAAATCAAATCATTTTTAAGAATTGTTGTCTGTAAAGAGTCTTTTCAAAATATTTTTACTCTAGCGTGTATTGTTGTTAGAACATACAAAAGACTTCATTAGTGACTAAGAATTTAGATAGTAATTTTTGTAAATTTTTAATCTTAAGGTTTATTTCTAATATTATTTCTCTAATACTGTTTAACAACTAAAAAGGAAGGATATTCATATATTCATGCAAGTGATTTTTATAGAGATTAATCAAATCATTTTTCATTCTAGAGTTGCTATACAAATTGACTATACAGGATATTACATTTATTATGCAATATCTTTATTTAGTCTAGAGAATTTTCGTATTTTTAACGTTAAATTTTGCTTTATATAACTCATTTTTAAATAGTTTCTAAATATAGAAATATAGTGTATACAGTATATGAGAACAAAAAAATTAATGTTAATAAAATTGCTAATATCATCAGATTAATTGTAAAATCAAAATATTATTGCTTGTAATGAAAGTCTTTCAAGTTTTTCTTAAAAAATTTCTCAAATTCTACAAATTTCAATAACGTTACAATTTTTTTTAAATTATTTAACTCATAATACGTCTATGAAAAATTCTAACTGAAATAAACAGCAAAATATGTGTGTTTTGTTGTCTTATAAATAGGGATTTTAAAGACATATTACTAAATATTTTAATTTTACTTCGAAGCTTTCTAATCTTTATTATTATTATTTTATAAATAATTATTAAAATCAATACATTATTATATGAATATTTCCAAAGTTTCGGGGTATTATAATTGAAAATCGTATTTATAATGTTTCTTCAGATCTACAAATTTTGTGTTTTTGGAAGTTCATCTTTAAAGCAAAAAGTTTTATTAAATTATAGAATTACACATATAAACCAATTATTTTTCTCTGTAAATCTCAGACCTTTTTCATTATAATGTCAGAAATAAAATAAAATTTTTTACAGAGTCGTGTGGGCATGCCCGGCTAAGACTGGCGTCTCGCCTTGTTAGAAACTTCATCTCACTGCTCCTTACTAATATTTTTCTATATCTGTATTTGTCCTTCTACAGAAATTGAGCCGGGGCTCTCTCAAAAGTGATTAAAATTTTCTTGATTTTGTATAGTTTGTTCCTTTAATCCATATTTATAACAAAGGACAAGAAGCATTAATCATAATTTCTTTATTAAATATTCATTTAAAAACAGTTAATGATGCTAAATTAATTTAAAATGCAGTTTTATTACAGGATATAACATCTTTATCTCTAATTAAATGTATTTTAGTATATTAAAATTAATCATTTAATTTATCAAAGGTTTTTTGTTTCATTACAATAATCCTTTTGATTCAGATTCGTTAAATTCTCACCAATCTGATATTTACTAATAACTATTAAAAAACATTTATCAAAGATACCTTCAATTTTTTTGGAGAGATGATCTGAAATGTTCATCAATATGACATTTCATTCACTCGTTCTGATAAGTGTTATTTCTTTTGGGAAATAGCACTTGATGTCGAGTGAATGATTTGATTCTCAATCATAACAAAAATCAAAGCATTTCAATCTATATGTTAAAATACTTCCAGCAGACTAATATATCGTAAATTCAATAGTTTACCGAATCGTGAATTTATTCTATATTGCCATGTTTAATTCTAATTTCTTATAATAAAATACAGTACGGTCGCGATAATCCGAACCCCGGTCATCTGAACTGCTTCTACCATTCCCCTAAAATAATACCAACTTATACATCTACATCTCACGTGTAAACATAAATCACATGTTGTGAGCATTGTTGCTCATTCTTTCTTTGACTCTGTTTCGCTTAACAGTTCTAAGCGCTATTTGTTTCTGTAATGTATCTTACAACAGTAAAAAAATGGCCTCAAAGCGTACGCATCATATCTGTACTATCATACCCCCGTGTTAATCCGAACTTTTCATTAATCCTAACTTCCACTGGTCTCAATTAGTTCGGACTAGCGCGACCGTACTGTAATAGCTATAAAGTGATAAATAGTTTTCAATAATCTAATACTCGTATAAATCAAATTAATGAACTTTAAAAGCTGTTAAAATTTCTTAAATCTGAACACGATTTTTGATTTAATCGAATTTGAAATGTGACAGATAAAATTTACTCGGTAAGTCTTAAACGGCTATAATTTTTCAAAAATGAAAAATTTCAATAAGATTTAAATTTCAATTTGGTAAAATCTTCATTCCATTCATTTATTATTGTCTTCCTGATCCTGAATATTATTTTCATTTCTTATAAAACAAATGCACTTTTTCTTTTGTTAATTTTTTAATCTTTCAGAAATCTTGTCAATTGTAGTAACTGGCAAATAGTTTTAGTATTTCATACAATTTAAAAATGAATGTATACAATAAGCCGAAGAATTTAAACAAGTACAATTTACGTCAGGAAATCTGTGTTCATCTGTCAACGTCACATTTTTAAAAAATTGCATCTGTTGTTGATTCTCATATTTTCTAACATTGATTGAAAAGATAAAGGATTTACTTCAAACAATCTTATATCTTTCTGCCATTGAAAATACGATCTCTTTATTCTTCCTAGTTCTCTCTCTCTCTCTCTCTCTCTCTTTCACTTTCTCGCTGCCATCTTTTTAGATTTAACTTTATTTAGATATAAATATAATAGCTAAAATAGAAAGTAGGTATCTTTAATGATCTATTTTAGTCACGTTTTCCTTAAAGATATCTTATTATGCTAAAAAAAAATTATACAAGAGATCTGTTTACATCGGATTACAATCGAATATTTTGCTTATAAATTCGTAAAATACTTTTGTACTTGCGATAGTAAAAGTGTTTAACGTCTTTGATATATATATGAGATGCATTTTAAATTTTAATTCATTGATAATGTGACCTTTTCTGAAACATTTTCATCTAAAAACTGGAAGCGCTTAAGAAGCCAACAATTGAAAACACTGTTTACATATTAGTCACCATCCATTCAAAAATTTCTTCATCTAATATTTAAAAATGAAAAAAAATTATAATTGCAGAATTTTAAGAATTTAAATGAAAAATTATCACAAAATACTCTTTTTAACTTATTATTTATTCTGTTTACAAACTTTAAAGATTTTATGAACATAATTTTACTTTTTTTTTTCTTTCACGCGATATGAAATTCAATGTAAATACGTTTTTATGTAAAATATATATATATCTTTTTATAATATATATATGCAAAATTTATTATGTTTACACATAAATATTATAAAGTTTTATCGTATTGAAATCTTATGAGCATTTATTTTTATTTTAGAAATCTTCCACGATCAATAGCTATAGCTATTCCTTTGGTAACATTATGCTATGTAATGGTTAATATTTCATATATGACTGTTATGTCATCATCTGAATTATTAGCTTCAGAAGCTGTTGCTGTGGTAAGTCGGTCATTTTTATTATAAATTTTAATAACCATATTTACTATTTTTTTTAAATTATTCTGTGTCTACATTTATTATGAACTTATCCCATTTTCACTCAAAGCGCATATAACATTTTTCAAGTTTCGATCATTTAAAACGCATTTGAATTTTTTCATGTTGTTTTTTTTGTATTCACATCGAAGATAATCATAAATAAATTCTTATAATTCATTCGTATACAAACTACAATAATTTATATTATCAATGATAAATAGAATGTTTTCAAATAGATTCACAGATATTTAATATACTAAACTTTAGGCTTTTTAGTTTTTTAGCATAGCAAACATTATAAATTAATCTGAATATTCCACATTGATATTTTTTTCAGTATTATAAATAAAACACATCTTTGTACATTATAAATCTTTTTTAAGAAATGTTTTATTAACAAATACATTTAAATGTAGAATGGTAAATATATAGATGCTAATTATGATTTACTTATAAACAATTTTTTAATAATTTATTAAAATTTTCTTATTATTTTAATGCACTTTTAGAACATTTTGTTTCAACATTTCTAACGATATTCATGAACGTCGATTTTTCTTAAATTCATTAATCTTTTTAACAATTTATACTTTATTTATCTTGAAATTCGAACTTGGAAACATGCTTTGATAAGCACAACAATCTTAAATATTCCAACGATGGTGATACGTAAAGATACAAAGTATATAATGTTTGTTTCCTAAACAATTGATAATGAAAAATTTATATATTATGTTTGTAAACAGATTTTAATCAAATCTTTGAAGTTATATTTTAAATAGGATAATAATTCATAATTTAAGATTACACATAATGTTAATTTGAACAATACTTGTTTATTCAAAATAAAATTTATACATATTTATTGTTTTTTTTTATTTATTTTGAATCATGTAGCACATTGATAATTTTAGGACTTATCATACAGAAATGTATGACAAATCCTTAAATTATCAATGTACTATATGATTTAGAAACACAAAGTTTAAAGAACAGGAAGCTTCAAGTAAATATTTGGAATGTGATATATAAATATATTATTGGATTATGTGTTTAAGTACTAGAGAAAATTGTTAACTGAAGGCTACTCCTTGTTCGTGTAATGAATATAATATTGAAATAATTCGTTATACAGTATAAGTTCAGTTAATGATGAAAAGATAATAATAATACTGAATTCTGTAAATTCCTACAATAGAAATAAAACTCTTATTTTGAATAAAAATTATAATCAAGACCGAGGAGAGGGCTAGAAATTTTTCTCCAGGTCCGAAGAAAATTATTGGAACTTACCCCTATAAATTAATGTAATTTTTTATTAGCAAAATAAAAAAATCTTTTAAAACTGCTTTTTACTAATAAGTAAACATTCATTACGTATTTTATTTGTTCAAAAAAGGGCAGAAAAAATCTTCTAAGGAGCAAAAGGAGCTCGCTCTATTCCCGGTCCCACACAAGCTCGTAATCGATCTGATTATAATAATAGGAAATTATCGAGCTGTATAAACAAACAAACAAATATGTAATATTCATTACTAACTGTAAACTTTTAAATGTGACATTCTAGAAAATATGTTATCATATTTAATTATTTTGTTGGGTAATTTATTTTATTTTGCTTAATTGTTTTGTTTGTAAAATATTCAATTAAAGTTTTGTCTTCAAAGAGTTTTTAATATTAAAATAATTGTAAATAAATTATAAAGAATCATTTTAAAAATGTTAAATTTAAAAAGTAAAGAAGTAAAAAAATTAGAAAAATTTTCTATTTTATAAGAACATCTTGAAATATATATATTTTATATAAACTGTATTTAATATTTAACCAGTTAATATTATTTATATAATAAATAAAATTGAAGAGAGGCAATTAGTACATGTTGAGTATGAGAACTATTTATAAATAATTGGACTGAATAAATAATTGGTTTGAAAGCGAAGAGTCAATTGGATATTTAAAAAGAAATTCAATTTATATTTTCATAATTTCATATGGGTATTTTCGGTCAAAGTGTTACATCTGGTGAGATTAATATTGTAGACTCTTGAGTTGATAGAGTTGGTATTATTGGTTATACGGATAGATAAATACTCCAATAAAATTTAATTGGATTGGTTATCCATCCGTATAATCATTCCAATCGATTCTAAAACAATTCTAAATATATATTCTAAAATAAAAATTAATACAGAAATAATGTATTGAAATTGAATATGTGATTTATAAGTTTGTTGTTTAGTTCTTTTACGTGAATTAAGAGATGTGTGAATGATTTAACAGTAAATGCTTTATTCAGTTTTGAATTTTTAATTATACACTATAATAGCACGATTCAATATGTTTTAAAAATAAAAAGAAAATGATAAGTTTTTTTAACTGGCTATAAACATTATTTAAACTTATTTCTGTATATAGACTACGCTATTAATAATAATCCATAAATGATATAATATACAGTATATATATAAATTGAATTAAACAATAGAAATAGTATATACATCGCTGGCAAAACTCTGATATAAATGTACTGTACAGCTCATTTCAAATATATTTTTATTTTATCATAGAAACAAAGTGGAACAGAATATAAAATTTTACCTAATTAATTGTTTAAGAAAATTAACGTATGAAATAAATTTGACAGTAAATTACGTCATTAGAAACAATAATAAAAAATGTATTCGTGTTTCTAAGTGAAAATCTTTGGGAAATAAGCTATACACATCCTCAAATAAATTGAGGGAGTCAGCACAACAGTGGTGTAAGCCACTTTAAAACAAAAAAAAAAAAACAGAAAGAACTCGTTAAAGTTTTACATTTACGACTTTTCTTCTAATTCAAAAGAGCTATTTTATTGGTAGCGGTGTACTATGTGATGGTTTTTTTAATTTAAATACAATGCTACGTAGTCTATTGTTACGTAGAATTAGAGATATTATGACTTTTGTGAAGGTACTCCGACAGTCTTTCTTGGTTACTGTTGAAGTGAAAACTGTTGGACCACCGTTGCACTAAAAATTTGTTTGCACGTAAGGAAGTGAAGAAAGTTACTTGAATAAATGCTAGACTTTATGATACTTAATCATAACAGCATTGTATAAATTTTAGTATGTTGGTTTAATCATTACACATAGTATATATAATCAAATTGCAAAAGAGGTCTTCATCATCTGCTTTACTCCCTGTCTGACTTTCCTAGGTGCTATTTTGAAAAATAAGACTGAATAGTAAATAAGGGGGTATATATTTTTATTATTATGCTTAAAATAAATTTGTGAAACGTACTTTTATATATTTATTTAAAAATAACTTATGATATGAATTTTATTCGTTTCTTATTCGTAATTTGAATTTTTTTTACTATAAAAAAGTTAAATAAGTTTAAATTCCTTCATGTAGTTATTTATTTTTTGCTTTTTGCATTTGTATTTATTTGCTTGTTTCTTGCACGATATGCATAAGCTTAGAGCATGACAAAAAATAAGTATTATTGTGGGTGTTTATGTTTCTCTACATTTGCTGTATAGGGTTTTGCTAACCATGTGTTAAGCCAAGCAGCTGTCATAATCCCTATCTTTGTTGCTGTTTCTACCTATGGTGCAGGCAATGGAAGTTGCTTTACCGCAGCAAGGTAATAAATTAATTAAATTATATCAATTTTTTAAAGTAATAACTGATTAAATGGAAGTAAAATGTCATAGAACGAACAGTAAAGCTATTTAGAAAGTTTGTTAGCCAATATTTTAATAATAGTTAAGAAATTATTTGAAATTTACTACATTGTCTGCAGCAACAGTGAATGAATCATTTTTACATTGCAGCAATATACTTTTCTGTAATTGAAAGCGCTTTGTAATTGAAAAATTGGATATAAATTGATTAAAAATAATTTTTTCATGTAAAAGTTTATATATAATAATGTTTATTTGTTCTATTTTTTTCAATAGACATGAATTTTTCTGCATGTGCTAATAAGATACACTATCAAATAATGAAACTAGAAATAAACTTCTTGAGATATGCCAAACATTTATTAATCCTTGCAGAATTTTTATTTTGCTTGCACTTGTAAATATTCCCTTTATCTGTTTAGTTCATATAACAATAATTTGCATTCTTAAAAAGTTAAATTTTTTTTTCCTGTTGAACTTTTAACTTTGCATGAACATCTTTTTAAAATTTCATTAAACAGGAAATGGTATTTAAATTTTTACACTTATTTATAATAGACTTGGGCTGCTCGAGTCCTTGGAGTAATGGCATTTGTTATGCCAGTTTCTGTGGTTTTATCTACATTTGGTGCTGGAAATGGTTCTTGTTTTACTGGTGGAAGGTGTGGTTCTGTATTTTTTCTGTATTCTAATATACTGATTATATATTATATTATTAACTTTGAATTTACTAATTAATAGTACTTATAAATTTATGATATTTATGATTACAAATGCAAATAATATTCAAAGCTATCTCATTTTTCTTCTTATAATTTGAATATTCTTAGACTATCATATGTTGCAGCCAGAGAAGGTCATTTGGTTGATGTCTTGTCTTATGTTCATGTTAGAAGATTAACGCCATCACCAGCATTAATTTTTAATGTACGTTATATTAATATCATTTTTAAAATCTTTAATATAAATAATAATTACTTATTGAAATATTTATTTGAAAAAATTAACTTATTCATGTATTATAAAAATATTAGTTTTAGAATGAGAAATTATAAATTTCCTTTAAAATTTCAGGCCTTTATTGCTATTTGCATGATAATACCTGGCAATATAGGAAGTCTTATTGATTTCTTCAGTTTTACAGCCTGGTTATTCTATGGAGGAACTATGCTTGCATTAATAGTAATGAGATGGACAAAGAAAGATGTTCCAAGACCTTATAAGGTAAAATTTAATTGTTAATTATATTTTTTAATTTTATTTACATTAAATAACTAATTTATAACAAAATATACTAATTCTAATTAAAATAATTTATAATTCTTAGCAATTACTATTTAAATTTTTCAGGTTCCAATCATAATACCCATTTTTGTACTCATCATATCTGTTTATTTGGTGCTGGCACCCATTATTCAAAATCCACAGATAGAATATTTATATGCTACCCTTTTTATTGTTTCTGGCTTAATATTTTACATCCCATTTGTTTATTATAAATTTCAATTAAAAATCATGGGTAAGTTAAGCTTAATTAAATTATCTTTTTTTTACTGGTTAGATTTATCTTCTGTTATATATAAAACTCAGGAAAAACTGTTTAAAAATACTTTAAGAATTTAATAATAACTGATGATTAAAAATAATAATAATAAAAAAATTTTTATAATGTAACACCATCAGAAGTTTTATGAATTATCTGACAAATAAATTGAGGGAGTCAGCACAACAGTGGTGTAAGCCACTTTAAAACAAAAAAAAAAAAACAGAAAGAACTCGTTAAAGTTTTACATTTACGACTTTTCTTCTAATTCAAAAGAGCTATTTTATTGGTAGCGGTGTACTATGTGATGGTTTTTTTAATTTAAATACAATGCTACGTAGTCTATTGTTACGTAGAATTAGAGATATTATGACTTTTGTGAAGGTACTCCGACAGTCTTTCTTGGTTACTGTTGAAGTGAAAACTGTTGGACCACCGTTGCACTAAAAATTTGTTTGCACGTAAGGAAGTGAAGAAAGTTACTTGAATAAATGCTAGACTTTATGATACTTAATCATAACAGCATTGTATAAATTTTAGTATGTTGGTTTAATCATTACACATAGTATATATAATCAAATTGCAAAAGAGGTCTTCATCATCTGCTTTACTCCCTGTCTGACTTTCCTAGGTGCTATTTTGAAAAATAAGACTGAATAGTAAATAAGGGGGTATATATTTTTATTATTATGCTTAAAATAAATTTGTGAAACGTACTTTTATATATTTATTTAAAAATAACTTATGATATGAATTTTATTCGTTTCTTATTCGTAATTTGAATTTTTTTTACTATAAAAAAGTTAAATAAGTTTAAATTCCTTCATGTAGTTATTTATTTTTTGCTTTTTGCATTTGTATTTATTTGCTTGTTTCTTGCACGATATGCATAAGCTTAGAGCATGACAAAAAATAAGTATTATTGTGGGTGTTTATGTTTCTCTACATTTGCTGTATAGGGTTTTGCTAACCATGTGTTAAGCCAAGCAGCTGTCATAATCCCTATCTTTGTTGCTGTTTCTACCTATGGTGCAGGCAATGGAAGTTGCTTTACCGCAGCAAGGTAATAAATTAATTAAATTATATCAATTTTTTAAAGTAATAACTNCGGAAAGTTTTTTAAATAAAAAAATGCATATATCATAAGACAATGTTTAATGTATTTATATATCAAATACTTCACTAATATTAAATCAGAAATAAAAACTGAAATTTCTCTCTTATTTATGTTGAATTGCATTTGAATTTGTACAGTAACTATATGCGAAAATATAACAGCTTCTCAAGAACTTTATGGGTGTATTATATGTTGATAAGATTTAATATAATCTTTTCTAATCATTGTTAGTATTTAGGGCCGTTGAAAGGGAGGGAATTGGTGATTTTTCTCTGACCTGGAGAAAACTTAGTAGCCCATAGTGGGGCTACTCCTATAAAGTAATGTTACTTTTACTAACAGAAAATAAAATTTTAAGACTGCATTTTATTAATAAAGAAACATTCTACATAGTTCATTTCTTTAAAAAAAAAAAAAAAAAAAAAGGTAAAAGGGGACCTGCTCTATCTTCATACTCCATACAAGACTTGGTGGCTTTTTCAGCATTAAAGTTAGAATGATCATTTTCAAATTATATAAATATACTTTTTCGTTTCATTATAATAAATTCTTATCTAATAGTATAAAAATGTTATGATAAAATCCAATCCAATTCAAGAGCCATCACTGTTTTACAAATCATTTAAATGATGGAATAGTTATGAACTGCTATAGAAAAACAGCACAAAAATAGTTAGAGAAGCTTGAATGCGATTTCAGATTATTTATAAAAAGTAAAATTTTGGAAAATTTTATTTCAAGCAAATTATCTCATCGTTTATTCTTTAATATGAAAGCTAATTTGTAGATAAGTATTTTTGCTATTTCGTAATTGAAGCATTTTTTCAATATTTTTGTTCATTTATTATTTAGAATTAAAAGTTTTAATTTAATAGTGACTATAGGGGAAAGTAAACCAAATCGCACCTGTTTTTATAAAAGTGTGTAATACCTTAAATGGCATAACAGTGTCAATTCAATTATTCTACTATTTAGATACATATTTGTTCTTCCATGTATATTTTTTCCAGATTTTTCATTGGTATATAAAGTTCTGCAAACGTGCTATTTGAGCGACAAAGCTCAAATAGCACGTTTGCTCTTAAGTCTCTTAAATTGCAACAGAAGTTTCCAGTCGTACTCATATTTAAAGCACGCGGGAAAATTATTTTTCGGGTAATTAATTTGTATTACTTATTAACACTGATTTTTATTTAACGTTTTGGGTAATAAAAAGTATAAAATAACGAGAAATTCGAAAAAAATAAAATTGAGAGACAATTCTCTCAATTTTATTAGTGTCTTGCCTCTGTATGTACAGTACAGTACTGTGCCTGTTAACAATGGAATCATACCGGTCTTTTAACTCCATTCAGGAGAAAATTTTTGAATTAAAAAATATAGTTAGTCGGGCTTCCTGTCCCTAAACTTTATATATCGGGACTCAACTTTCATCTATCTAACTCCGTTCTCGATATTAAGAAAAGACAGACGGACGATAGTGGAAATTTATAGGTCTACAATTTTTTCAAATTGCATCCCAACTATGTGACAAGTTTCGTTATTTTAGGCCAACTCAAATCAACGCTTCCAAATCCAGAAGACCCTATACTCTTTTGAAATCATTACTAAGCCTGTTTCTCAGTCACCATTTGCGACACGGAAAACAAACTTTAAACAGTTTTGCAAGTCGTTTCATAAACGTGCAAAATCTCAAGGAACAGTTTCAACATATTGGCTGGGAATCTAGAGGATCCGCAAATATTCTAATCAATAGGCTGAGGAAAAGTAATGCATGCTGGTAACATGACTACAGACAAACGTGCTTAGAAGTTTATTTCTTTCGTTGAAGAATGCCCTTCAGTTTGAAACACGAATGAAAGGAGCACAGAAATACTTAAGTTTGTTAAGTTATGGCAACGCGACAGTTGGACGATCTGCCTAGAGGGGATGCCTTCCGGGAGGCATTTTTAAGAAAAACTGGCCCCTATTTAGGTGTTACAGACATGGAGAAAACCCGGAAAACTCCACGTGGCCAGCCCGTCCGAGTAAAGCGCGAACCCACAACCTAACTCCTAGTATTCAGGGTACGAAGACCGCTTGGTTACTGGTGGGCTCCAGAAATACTAAGCTGGTAGTCGATTTGTGGTTAGAAGTTGCCCAAAATCTAAAATTGTCGGGTAGACATATTTTTGTTATGTTAAATCGATGGTTCTTTACCAGTGTTCCGCGGTGTTCCTTAAACCTGCCTCAAGTGTTCCACGGAAAAAAGATTTTTTGCAAATTTATTCTAATATACTACGATATATTACCATATTTGTAGACAATTCTATGTTTCTATTTTATTAGTTTATTGCTTCATTGTTTCTTGAGAATAATAAACATGGAATTGCTTATCAATTTTTGAATATATATTGATGCTAATACTCTTGTAATAAAAGTATATGAACGGTGTTCTGCGGCCTCAGAAAGGTTGAGAACCACTGCGTTAAACGATAGACGTCTACCGACAAAAACTATCATTTTGAATCAATTTTGAACTTTTAATGTTAAATTTAACGATAATTTTAATATATTTGCTACAGATAAGTTAAAAATGTTTATAACGTAGAAAATAATATATGATTATTAAAATAAGTTATGTTCTCCGTGTTGTCACCTAGGGTACAGTTACGCCATCTTGTTTTTGAGAACGTTACCGAGAAAATATATTAAAATGGTACGTCGGTATATCAGAAAAGAATAATGTTGAATAAATAAATTGATCATCTACTTAAAAACAGTCTCCTTCTTCTCTAACTTAATGAATAATCAAGTTACGCTAATGAATGCGTACTGTACAATCAAACATCAGAAACAATCTGATGACTTCTTTTGAAATTCAGCTTTTGCATTG